CGCGAGCAGGGAGGCCGCGGACAGGGCTCGGGCGGACCAGGCCGTCGAGGGAGAGAAAGCAAGGTACGCATGACTCCTCCGCCTCCTCCTCCTCCTCCTCCTCCTCCTCCTCCTCCTCCTCCTCCTCCTCCTCCTCCTCCTCCTCCTCCTCCTCCTCCTGTCGGCGCTCCGCGCGGAGTTCTCGGAGCCGATGAAGGCTGCCCTTCCTTCGTTTTCACCCCCTCAGGCCTCCTGGGAAGCCCTCGCCGCCACGGCTGCATTCGCCTCGAGGCTCCGGTCAGGACGCACCCTGGGAGGGGTCCGGGCAGCAGGGGCATTGTTGGCAGAAGGAAGAACAACATAAGCATTCAGTCGGGCCTGTCCCTCTCTCTACACGGGGGGAATATTCAAAAGTAGTCCACAAGTGCTCTGGGGACTATTGTTTGAATACTTCTGAGCATCTCTTGAGCAGTTTCTGCGTATGCTTTATCTGTCGTCCAAGATCCCCCGGTCGGGGGGCAGGCTCGACCTACACAGGAGCAGGTCCGCGCGGGTTTCTAGGAGCGGCGCCGGGTCCCACCGGCGGGCGCGCCGCCCTCGCCAGAAGCGAGGGCGGCCCAGCGCCGAGTTCCAGGAGTCCGCGCGGAGCTCCGGCGGGAGCCCGCTGCCCGAGGAGGCCGCCGCGGCGCAGCTGGAGGAGACGGCCTCGTGCGTGCACCAGCGCCTGGACGACCTCGCGGCCGTCATGGAGGCCCCGACCTGCGATATACTGTTGCTTAATAATAGTTGTCATGAACAAAAACTATCTACACATATATATATATATATACAAGACAGCAGTGCCGCTTCGCGCCATGCACCTTGGTCCTTGAAGTTTGGTATGCAGGCGGACTAGCGGGAAGGTCAAGCCGACAATTTAACGATAGCTCCTTTTCCGGCATCACCGCTATAAAAATGTTTTTCGTTATCTTTCCTCCATGTTTCTTATTCCTAATTTTCGCCATGCCCTGCGCATTCTCCCCATCCTCCTCAGCTTTTTTTACGGAGGCTCCTCCTTGGAGAGCCTCTGGGGGCCTCATGGGCGTGTCCTGGAGGCTTTCTTCTTAAGGCCTTCTGGAGGCCTCCTGGGCGTGTTCTGGGGGTTTCTGGGGGTTTGTCGGGCCACCCAGCCTCCAACCGCGGTCTCCCTGAACGACCGGGTCACGATTTGGAATGTATATATATATATATAGGTTCCCCAATCAGCGCTTGCACTGAAGGGGTCCTAGCACAGGTCGAACGATTTGGCGAAATTTTCCCGCCGATGTTGGTCGCACGCTGGGTTCCCGGGTTCCCGGTTCCGGGTTCCCGGGTTCCGGGTTCCCGGGCCGATGTCGGTGGGCGGCGAGGTTCCTAGGTTCCCGTGTTCTTGGTCGATCTTCTAATCGATCGGTCTCAGCATCGATCTCATTTCCTACCTCGCTATCGACCTCACCATCGTTCGCACAATCGATCTCACAATCGATCTCGCAAGCGATCTCACTGGAGATCGCACGAGCGATCTCGCGATCGATCTCCCTATCGATCTTATTGAATCGGTTTCATTCTCGGTCTCACGATCGACCTTACAATCGTCCTCTATCGATTCCACTATCGATTTGATTGTCGATCTCACAATCGATCTCAAGATCCATATGACTAGTTTTCAAGTCATCCACTGACTGGGGTTTTCTCAGGTGTGATATATATATATATATATACACACACACGCCCACCCCACCCCACCTCACCCAAAAAAAACGAGGTCCTGGCGAGGAAAATCCTGTGAGGCCTCGCGCGGCGCGCAGTGGTTGTAGTTCCTATCTAGGCCGCGCGCCCGCCCAGTAAGGCATATGACGACGCTCGCGCGGCGATGATCCGACGGAAGTCCAACGTAAATCCGAAGCGAACCCGGCGCAGATCCGACGGGAACCCGACGCAAGTCTGGCGCGGATCCTGCGTAACTTGGGTCTCGAGTTGCCGCGCGACGCCTGCAGGATTTTCCCCATCAGGGCCCCCGAAACTGCCCTGGGGAGTGAAGAGAGGAGTCGCACAACTTTTACATACAATCTTGTATGTGCGTCCCAAAAAAAATCAGGGCCCCCGAAGCTCTTGGGGCCCTCTGGGAGCCATCCTGGGCGAGAACCTCTGGCACCCCGCGGGTCGCCCCGCCCAGGTCCAGGGGAAGGGGTAATTAGGGTTCAGTCGGGCGTGTCCCCCTACAGGGGGGATTTTCGACGAAAAATGACAAACACCCCAAAAAGGTCAAAACATATTCAAAAGATAGTCCCCTGACTTTTTTTGGATTATGTTTAGATAATGGTTGGTGTATGTTCTTGGCTTCCGTCGAAAATCCATCTGTGGGGGGACAGGCCCGACTTAAAATTAGGGGTAGGGGTCACGCGACCCACCAGCCCGCAAGCCGCCGTGCTCACTCCCGCCCGCCCTCCCGACACATAGGGGGCCACATGCGAACCCTGCCCCTACCCCCCACGACTTCTGA